GACACCATCCAGCTCTTCTGGTCTCAAGGCAAAGAAGGCAGCTGCTCACGGAGGCAATTAGTCACACGTTCCATCTCCTCCTCCTATGCTTGACTCTCCTTCCTCTGTTGCTCCAGGTGAATAGAAACCTATTGTTGTGCCTTGGGTGGCTGCTTGCAAGCTTTTAAGACCCAAGGCACTACACAGCGAACTAGGAGGTAGAAAAGAAGTGCTAAACATGTTATTAGGCCAATTAACTGGGACGTCCCATGAAACCATGGCTGTAAACCTCCAAACCAAGGAACCAAATCCCATGAGGTGTTTGGCTGTACGTAAGCTGCTTCAGAAGCTACTGTTTTTGTTTTTTTGTTGTTGTTATAAATACATCTATCACACAACTTTTGCCAATTCAACTTTTTATAGGTGTACAACTTACTGACAGCAATTACAATAATCGGCTGTGCAAACCTATCTTTAAACAATGTAATTTTTCATCACCGTTGACCCCCTTTTTCCGCCTCCCTTCCGCTGCCAGTAACCACTAATAAACCTTGGTCTCTATACATTTGCCTTTTCTTGTCTTTTTCTATAAGTGACATCATACAATATTTGCCCTCTTGTGATTAGTTTATTTCGCTCAGCATAATGTCTTCAAGCTCCATCCGTACTGCAGCAGGTATCAAGACTTCATTTCTCCTACTGGCTGAGTAGTATTCCACTGTATGCATGTACAACATTTTGTTTATCGATTCATCTGCTGATAGCCTCTAAAGATTTTAATTGATGCGATTCAGCAGAACCATAGGGCAAAGCTCCCCCAAAGGAAACAAGAAGTCTGCCGATAACAATGGCTGTCCACCAAGGCCATCCCACCCTCTCCCCACGGGGAGTCCAGAAACAGTGCCTGCGAGTTCTCATGGCCTTTAGTAGGTGGGGCCAGGATGCTAGCAGTCCTACAAGGTACAGAACAGTCCTGAACAAAGAAGAACTGGCCTCACTAAATAACAGCACCCCCACTACCACATTGATACGGTAACACTTTGAGCTGTTGGAATTATATGTCATCTTTTATTGTAAACTACCTCGTCCCTCTACGACAAGTTAAATTATATGAAATCCCTGGACATTGAGCAAGGTGTATCAAAACCAAAA